AAATTTTTTTGAGCTCGTATTTCTGCCACTTCTATATTTTTTTTTACAGCGAATTGTTTTTTTTTCTTAAGTTTTTAAAAGTACTTTCAAGATATCCGCACACCATGAAAAAAGAAGCTAAGTAGACAAGTGGATGAAATAAAAATGCGATAGACACCTACACACCGCAAATCCTGAAAAGTGGCATCTTTCCCACTACAAGCCTTTTTCTCCTTTCGGCAAAAAAATTACCGATGTGAACAGATATCTCGGCACACTCACGATTCGTCTTCTTCAGCCGTCAAAAGAGGGCATATTATTGACTTCAGAGCACATATGCGTAAAATATAATATTTTAAAAAATTGTCTTGTTGTGACACATGTCGTGAAAATGCACTTCTTCTAAGGAATCTTAACCTTTTTCACCACAACAATATATCATGTCACATATGAAATAAACGACAAGGAGGGTGAAAGCTCAGTTTTCCACCGAAAGCGAGAACTACTACTACCGTATTATTATAAAAACTTAAAAGATGGAGCAAATGAGGATCCTTCAGATCAAAACTGTTCTGTAACGAGCCATGAATTCTGCTCTATTTATAGTGTCGCGGAGATGGTTAAATGCGTATTTAAGCTATAAAATGGCTTTCCTGGCCTGCTTCAGTGCTTTCATCCTCCCAAACAAGTCTGGTGCTAATTTTTCGACACCGAAGCTATGAAAGAGTTTGTTTGCACCAGATGCGGGTTCGAACTATGGATCGTGTGTTTGCATGCGTGTGTGTATTCGCGCGTATGCGTGTGTGTGTATGCTTGTGTGTTTGTTTGCGTATGCGTTTGTGTGTTTATGCGTGTGTGTATGCGTTTGTGTGTGTATGTATGCGTGTGGGTATGCATGCGTATGCGTGCGTGTGTTGAAACGAACCTCTAACTTCTAAGCTACAAGCGGTAATCGTATTAGCATACGTGATAGTAAATATTAATGACTACTGTACAGCGACTAATTTGTTCTACATAAATTGTCGTGTTTCCTTTCAGAAATAACAAAACCGATCGTTGAATCATAAATGTAATAAATAGAGCAAAACAAAAAACGAGTATTTAATTAGTTACTAGAAAATAACTAGAATCTAATCGCATGAAGGCAAAAAGTTCCATTAAAAAGAAATACGGTTCCATTAACGTTTCCGATGTTCGCGTTTGTCCCATCCAAAATCAGCTCTCGTAAAGAAAACAGGCTTGCTATTCTATGAAGCCATAGTATTCTAAAACAAATCTTTTTTTTTGGTGTGAAGTGTAAAACCACTTTCCGTGCAAACATTAAGAAGAGTCGTTAGATCGTTTACATTAACGAGATTAATAAAAACCTAATCGATCGAAGTTAACACATGCAAAGTTTTTCTAGCTATTATGAGTAATTAAGGGAGCAGGAAAAACAAAAAAGGAAGATCATATGAAAGTATAAACGAGAAAGAAAATCGCCTCACTTTGAGAAAACCATCTTTACTTAAAGTTCTTCATAAAGGTTTGCAAGGTACCGAATATTACCCCAATAGGAGTGAGTTTTGACATTTTCTTAAAATCTCTTGAAGTCATTTTTTTTTAGTTTTCTTAGTTCGGGTGCTGAAATGTGTTCCTTTCTCTTCGGCCGTCGTTCTTTTTCGAGTCGTATCATATTCGTTCCGGAATTCATTCATTGCCGTTCGTGGCACATCCACAGACAAATTGAATCATCCCGCTGATCGTAAGCAATTTCGATCATCTCCATCTCCATCTGTCAACCATTTTCTTCGTGACGAAATTAGATGAACTCGCTGTTGCCATAATGCCCACCGGCGAGAAAATTGCCGCTCTTGCACTGAAAGAGGAATGCAACAAAAAAAGGAAAATAAACCTCTTATTTTACCGTTTCCAATTTTCATCACCAAACATACAATTTCACGCTGTTCATAAGATCATCTAACTAATTCGTCTTCAAAATACTTTCCCAGAAAGCCAATAGTATTCATATTTACAATAGAATAGACTAAGAGATCCTTTGCTGACGTCATCGTACAAGATGTCTCCACCGTTGTGCCTTTCATGAGATGTACTGCTTTAAAAGAATATATATTTTTCCTCGTATATCTCTCTAGTTTACAGCTTTTAAACTAAAGATTTAGAAAACACAAATAAAGACAGATCTTTATAAAAATGAGATTTTGATGCAAATCAAGCAACGTTCTACATTGACGATTCATTCTGGAAAGCAATTAAATTCTTCTGGACAAAATCCCACTAGAAGCTAATTCTGTAAGACCAGCCAACTGCCTGTTTCATCCGCATCTTCCGTAGTCCCGTTATTTGTCGATTGACTCTAGCGAGAGAGAAGACCATAAGATTTCTGGTGAATAGAACTGCTTATAGGAGAGGAACGAGGATGCCGTTATGCCACTTATCTTTAATGGTCTTACGAGGTTGAAGAAGGTACTCATTGTTAACTCGACTCACTGTACTGTGAACGCTGGACTTACTCCCAAGCAGTTTAATAAGATCTTCTACAGTAAAACTGAGGCTTATAAACTTGAGATTAAAAGGAAAAAGATAAAGCCTTCGAAGTTGGTCAGAGCTATAACGATGCGCATGGATTCGCCTCCATTAGGAGGCATCGTAGAGGTGATTGATTGCTTATTTGGTCTATAAAATGACCTGGCAGAAGCGTATCAATACATCAAGTTATTGGTTTTGTCCTCCCAGACGTCTAACAGCAATTTACTGATCCCAGAGGAATGAAAGAGTTGGTAAATCCAGGACGCAGTATGGCTCCAACGATTACGTAAGTGCTGGAGAACTAAGAGTACGCTCCTAAATTTTATCTTTACTATAGCAGTAAATTTCCTTGTCTTTCAGAGTAAGAGCATTGTCACCTTTGGCTTGTTCGGCTAGCGATTAAATGGAAAACAATCGTTCCTATCAAACGCTAACGTCGCCCATTGTGACATATCGATTTGATGAACCGTAGATGAAAATCACCAATATGATTAATAACTTTATAAGGGCAGGTTCACCTTTTGGCAGTAAAGCTAGAAATACTGGTTAGTAATCAATTTAACTACTTGAATTTATTCAGGGAATTTCGAATGTTTCATGAAGGTGATGCACGTGGATACGAACTCTGGTGTACTACCGACGGGCTTATGTTGCGCAGTGGTTCAGGATGTCCTGAAATACATACAGACTCAATGGTTCGATGGGCTTCCATGGCAAACAAAGCTCTATCTTTTTTTGGGAATCAAAAACTTTCTTCTAGAGTTGTCTGTGAGAAGAGGTGCAATTCCTCTATACATCTTCAGGCAATCGTAGGGCATTATTTTGGCAATGTATTCGTTTAAATCACGCTGCTTGATGGAATGATTGATGGAGTCGAATAACATGCACATCCCTAATGAGCTAGCCAGCCTTAAGCGCTTTAACTTTATCCTTATCGGAAAGTAATCGTCTCACCAAGACATTTTAAAAATGCAGAACAAAATTACTATTTTACTCGAAATGTCCAGAAAAAAAGTACGTAGGCCACTCTTTTTCTACTGACGTCTTCGTCGAAAAATGTATTGTTGCGGGTCTGGTCGTCGCTCCCAGTGAATAATGAATTCTTTACTTTTACTTTTTCTTTCTTACGTTTATCACTCATGTGATGGAAATCGTCATCCAATTTGTTTTATACGACCCGATATCACATTGCATGTATCCCGGCATTTCTTTCATTCAGTTCGTTGTCTCGGTTTCGCCATCTTCGAAAGGTTTTCGATTTACGTATCGTCTTGGTTACTAACTGAAGGCTTTGCCTTTGCGCAAAGTTGTCGTCAACTTGATTTGCCCGAAGCCCGAGTGTACCTCCGAGAGATTGTCTTAAGCCTTTGCCACAGTCTGGCCCTTTTGCTGACTATGGATGTATGAGAGGCTTTGGTAACGAAAGTTTGAACTTGAGCTATGGAGCATGCAGATATTGTACGTCGTCTCCAGTCACAATGCTTCCAAAGCCCATATCTTCTAAATGGAATAAGGTAGAAAAAGAATGTTATGCTTTAATGTGAAATTTTCCATGAGCGATCATAGCTCTCCAAATACAAAATCCCTAAGTTCACAGGTTAAGTGCTACCACGAGAGCAAAAAAAGCACGTTTATCCTATAAAACGATATCTGAGAAAGCCCATATATATATATATATATATATATATATATAACTTAGTAGTCATATATATGAAGGTCTTTGAAAAAGGTCATATATTCCATTAACGGGATAGATTATAGATCATAAGAAAATAGGTGCTGTAATCTAAAACTGACAAGCGTCTACATTTTCCACAGACATTTTCTTGCGCGTTCTAGTGTATGGGGTAACTTCGAGGCTAATTTTATGAAGGATAAAATTCTTCGTGGGCTGCTAATAGAACATTGGACATCATTAATGGGATCGGACCAAGGGCCATGTGTTCCTCGGGGAACAGCTAAACACAACGCTGTAGGCTGTGTTAAAGATGCTCACAATTGGAGGGTTATGGAAAAGTACACTACGCTAACGATGTATACGTAAAAATGAAATTGTTTCCGCCGTCATATATGTGTTCCTATGTGCTCGTATATGCTTTCCGAAATAGATTTTCTTCAACGCTTAGCATTTCTGAGATATTTGAATTTTGGCGTTGACCATTTCGAAAAGAATGCGCCAAACACTCGACTTTTTCAAGGATCGTTGGAGATAACTGAATGCATATATAGCCTATATAATGACTTCCGGTTGCCTACCGATCGGTGATATCAAGTCAGTGTTTTTTGTAATTCAATACGATACCTACTCTGGCACTACTTTACCGGCTTCGAAGAGGCTGAGGCTTTAGTAGGCCCGTGGGTGAGATCGAACCAGAGATAGATCCATGGTGTCATGCAGAGAGATCATTCCCATCATTATGCTACACGGCCCTCAGTACATAATATAGACATTGCAATTCGATCAGCTCAAAGAAATGTATAGTAATATAACAATGTCAATTTTCAGAAGCAACAGAGATCTCGAGGCATGTCTTAATCGATGTAACAAATCACAAGAATCGGCTATACTTCTGGCCGGCATCAAATCATGGGAGGATACATGCGCTCACTTAGAAGGTAGGGATAACCTTTCTATTGAAGACTTGGCTAATTTCGAACCGAATGGCTGGATTAATAAAGCTAGCCAACAAATGCTATTCATGCGCTCTAATTTAGTGGTTTGGCATTAACCCATGTTCAGTTTCTGCAATGGTTTTACTACGTTCATCAAAAACATTCTCTGAAAAAGAATATCGATTTGCCACGAATAAATGCGAGTAGTTAATTAAACTATGTATAAATTTAACTAAGATGATGCTGAGATATTTGCAAAACTCCGGACCGCAGGTGTCTGCAGTGAGGAACGGATGCGCTATTGTCCTTGCCGGGAGTAACGCGTTCACCACCACACCATGCGGTCTTTCTGTCTCTCAGCTAATTCTACTGATCGAGGTAATTGCTGATGGCGCCGATCAATAGAAGTAGCTGAGAGACAGGCGAAACGAAGGACCCGCATGGTGTGGTCGTGAACGCGTTACTCTCCGGAAAGGAAAATAGCGCGTTCGTTCCCCACCGCATACACCTGCGGTCCGGAGTTTTGCAAATATCTCAGCATCATCTTAGTTGTATTTCACATGATACCTTGCCGTTAAAAATTATAGTAGACAGTAAATAAAAAGGTTAAGATTATATATAAATCTAATCTCAGGATCCATTCCTATTACCGTCTGTATTGCAATAAAGGTCTACTAAAGTCTCCATTCGTTTCGGTTACTGCTGCTTAGTGACAGCTTGTCACTCAGGAAAAAGGAAGAGCACCGCACTTGTGATGCGAAGCCTCATTTGATTTTTTATGATAGAAGTACGGGCGCAGTTGCGAGTAAATTCTGGCTATGCTAGGCTTGATGATAGCTGAGCCACTGGCTAAAAATGTCGAGTTTCTCTTTTTGGCTGGTTAGGCTGCAGGGATGGATCTTGCACTATAGATCACAGATCGACACGCTTTCACAGTGAGCCCTAATTCTGATAGCTCTCGAAGAAAATTTAGGTGTTCATTTAATTTAGAGGTTGTTACACTGAATTTCGCAGTCTGAGTGGCTATTTTAAGGCGTCGATGAAAAAAAAGTTCTAAACGTCAGCGCTGATCACCATTTTGAACCAGTGAGTTTTCGAAAGCAAGTGCAGTTAGCTGTTGAGTTCTCGAAATAATTGAAATACCTTTGAATTGATGAATTCGATTGCAAAGCACTCAATTTAGCCAACATTCGACTAATTCAGCTGCTATCCTCTTAACTACTCAGTGATTCGAGCTAGTAAAGTTTCCACCAATCCTTGTTTAGTGTCAAGGCTAAAAAGTGAACTACATTTTATTGAGAACATGAAAAGCGCCACATTTTTCAAGTGCGGCTCTGCTGTTTCACTATCTTCGTATAAAAGATATCTACAAGGAGTTCGCCAGTACTGTAGAAACAGGATGTTCGTCTTAAAATATGCCACTGTTTCAAAGTAGGCACGGCTGTTCTTGGTCAGTGCTTATTTTTTTTATCTACCATTTGGAAACGAGCATTTATTGTCTGGCGACGAACCAGCACCCGGTTCACCATGCGATGGTTTTATAGAATAAAGGCTTAGTAAGGTAAATATTCAAAATTCCATGTGTGCTGAAGGTCTCAGACTCCTCTGTTTTTATTGTATTGTGACTGTCATCTATAAAGTCAGTCCGGTCAGAGAGTTGTTATGGTTGATGCCTCAATGTTTGCCTACCTACTGACTTATTCAATGCTTGAAGATCATGGTTTACCTTGGAATCTCGAAGTATTCAATCTAAGTCATTCCCATGTATTTACTACAAGTGATCGATGATTTTTTGAACTAAGAGAAAGTTTCCTGTTTTGTAAAAAAAGAAGATACTTTCGTGATGACGGCAAATTATGTGACTAGTCGAGCGGCCAACCGATCTGTCTAAAAAGCCGAATCCCTTTTGGCGCACCATTTCTACATAACTGACATTCTCACTATTCACAATTTTAACTTAATATTTACTGCCTGCTCTTTTTAATGGCAGGGTATATACTGCGAAATATAACTTCAATGATGCTGAGATATTTGCAAAACTCCGGAACGCAGGTGTATGCGGTGGGGAAGGAACGTGCTACTGTCCTTTCGGAGGAGTAACGCGTTCACCACAACTCCATGTGGGTCCTTCGTTTCGCCTGTCGCTCAGCTAGTTCTATCGATCTTTTGTCATCAGCAATCTCATTCTCACTAGTTTAAGAGAATTTTTAGCAAGATGTCTCACCAATTTTTGTTCCGAAAACCTAGTCAGATGGTGCAATCTAAAGAGTATCGCTCTTGTAATCTAGCACCAGCTGTAACTGCCATCCAGACAAAACTCAAGAGGCAAACCCTTCTTTAATCTACAAAGACTAGACTCTTCGAATAGTCAGACAAGCAATGAACATATTTTTCATATGGAAAGTTTCCTTTATGCCGGATGAGTTTTTTTAATGAAATGGTACCAATTAAAGATAAAACAAGTACTGGTAACAGAGAATAGAACGGAAGGCGAATAAAATAATTTTTGTAAATCACTTGTCTAAAGAGAAGCCTCATTACCGTATTACCTGGATTCCAGTTGCTGGATTTGTAAGATTTGCCTTTTTCTTTTTACAACTCCTATCTGACCGTTTGGTCTCAGTGCTTCTTCGAATGCAACTATGCTATGTTTCAATAAGAGGACGTTTTCCTTTGTCTTCATGAAGCGATGTCTGTTCTTTAAAGTTTAAAGGGTTTAGTATCATCTACTTCCTTCCTTCATCGTTTTGATTGACCCCAGAAAAGTGTTTTAGCACGTCGACACAACAAATGAGGGTTGAGTTGTGAGGAAAAAATTGCTACTGAGTGGAATGAGTAATAGTATAGCGTTTGAAGGTCCTGCGGCCTCGAATGCGAAAATGAGAAGTTTCGAAATGACTCACAGGCCTCATTATGGACGGAGGTATATCTAGGCGTCAAACAGCGATGCACTGTCCTGGTTCAATCCTCTAGAAGAATCTCACAAATTAAAAACCAGTTCAACAGTACCACCGGAAAACACAGCTGATAGCCACTACCAGGAAATACTGCTATCCGGGCGAAAAGGCAGCCACTGATTGGCAAATAGTGGAACGTCGGAAAATCTCTCGTACGGCTTTTTCGTCTGAGCAGATTTCCACTCATATGGAAGTTGTGCAGCAACCCGTGCCATTCCCAGTGTTCCTTTAAAGGGCCATTCGTGAATCAAGTATTTAATCCTAAATAAAACAAGCAAGTAATCCATATAAAGTGTTTTTTGTGAGATCGAATACTACAGTATGCCTAGTTGTGCTTATTTTCATGAAGCTATAGAAGATAACTTACAAAGTAAAAATTATTCAAGTGTTCTCACACTTAACTGGTGTGTTAACAGCAACGGCATAAGAACTCAACGGAATACCAAGGCATGTTCAAATGTGGTATCTTTGGCATCATCACCTAAAAAATTTTAAAAAAGACCCAATTATGGAAAATATGGTCGAAAAACTACCGTATTCAGAGTTGCGCGCGCAGTTCCCTTGTTGGAAAAACAACGGTCACGAGCTTTCACAGTCATGTCGAGCTCAAACAGTTAGCCTCAAAGAAAGTATGTACCAATTCACTCTGAATCAATCGTATCAGAACATTCAGAATATATGCAGGTATCTTTTCGCTTTGAAACCTACTAAACTCCTTGGAAATTATACGGTGAGAAACTTTTTTCAACTAAGAACGTTTAAAAAACGAATATCGAACGTTAACCAGCGCTCATGATTTTACAGCAATTTGATCTACATCAAGATATATATTTCTTCAATGATAAGCGAAAAAAGCTACTTTCAATGGAACCATAACCTGCTGAAAACATGCTAACAACCTCGTGTTAGCTTATCAATAGAAGAATATATATTGATTAGTTACAACTAGTTTAAAGAAAAGCCGATTTTTGAACTATATCGCGATACATCCACAACGTTGCTGAGATATTTGCAAAACTCTAGACCGCAGGTGTATATGGTGGGAAACGAACGCGCTATTGCCCTTTCCGGGGAGTAACGCGTTCACCACCACACCATGCGGGTCCTTCGTTTCGCCTATCTCTGAGCTATTTCTATCGATATTTGCCACAGCAACCACCCGTCAGCGGGATTGATCTGGGTGCCCAAATCGGCATAGAACCCAGTTAAGCTGCGACTGTAGTTGGAATCACATTCTTATACCTTTTTATTTTCTGCCTACTATAATTTCGCGGCAGGGTACGCGTTACTCCCCGGAAAGGACAATAGCGCGTTCGTTCCCCACCATAGACATCTGCGGTCTAGAGTTTTGCAAATATCTCAGCAACGTTGTGATTGTATTTCGATTAGTACCCTGCCGCGAACTTATAGTAGGCAGAAAATGAAAAGGTATAACATTATATCGAGATAATTCCCGTTGAGAAGTGGTTGATGAAGGCACTGTTAAGCTAGAATCTTGGCTAAGGGGAAGACAAAAACATGGGCCTCGGTAGTGCAGTAGGTGACACATGAGACTCCGTGAAGGGAAATCCAAATTTCGTATCTAATATAGGGTCTAGGTTTTGCAAATATCTGAGCACCATAATAGTAATATCGAGAGGGTTTGAAAAATTCAGAATTTAAACAACTTTATTTGCTTAGCCTTTAAAATTAAACAATCACTCTGAATAGAATGTTCACATTCGTCGAATTGAAGACCTCTGCAAAAGTTTAAAAGTTTGTAGTAACTCACACGTCCGACTTTCTATTAACCTCGGCATTGATTGAACATTCTTTCCACTTCTGTTCAGCAAACACGAGGTGCCATTCCACTTCCCCACTCACGTAAAAGCTGATGTTTCGGTGGATTTCGCCTTCCTCAGAGCCGCTTTCTATGAGTCTTCCACTGAATATGTCGTGTGAAGAGCAACCGCACAAAACTCACATGGAAGCGTAATGTCGTGAGTGGGGAAGTGGAATAGCACCTCGTGTTTGCTGAACAGAAGTGGAAAGAATTGTTCAAAAGTTTGTCTTCAGTCAATAACCTGTTAGGGAGTTATTGCCAGTTATTATAAAAAATGCATTGTAGTAAGTGATGAAAAAGCAAGAAAAAAGCTAGTTGGGATAAAAAAATGTATGGGGATGTAATCGATTTGCTAGAAAAAGGATGTTTCTTTCTCTTTAATTCAATAACTGAGTTTTTCAAAAAAAGAGGAATAGAATAAATTGCTCGCAAACTATCGACTTTGAAAAAGTACAACCACCTTCAAGACATTAAAATAAGAGCTTTTCAAACGCATTCAGATGCTTTCTTGCTGGCCTCCACAACTGGTATGACAATGAATTGTTTAGGCAATCAGAAATGTTTTTCTCGTTGTTTCTATTCTTCTTTGAAGGGCAGTCGTTTGATTATAATTTGAGTGCGTTGATGACTGTTGGGGAGAAAAATTGAGGACGGGGTAGAAAAAATGCCTGCGGGAGAAGGAAAAAGAAGTGTAATAGAAAAACTCTGAAGAAGTGGCTTTTGTTCAGACTGAAATGCCGAAGACCACCTGTACGATATGTTTCGGTGGAATTTTCTTGAACAAAATAATAGCAGACAACATTTTACTAAGTTTTTAGTATGTAAAAAAAAAGAAGAGTGGCTTAACAGATAAGTCTTTTATGCATTGACATCAATGCATGTTCCACCGATTGCCTATTTTGCCGCGAAGAGTTTGCTTGTAACACTTTTGCACTTAACGATAGCTTACCAAGTAGATATTATGCCAGACGAAGTGCTTAAAGAATTGTGCCCTAGTTGAATGATGTGCAAAAAGACCTTTTTCTGGATGATTTTTTCAAATTCGATCGCGCGTGAAGAAAATCTGAGTGCAATCTCACCCCGCTTCCGCAGAAGTGGTAGTCGCGTATGTTTTAGGCTGTTTGTTTTTTGAATTTCACAATTATAACGACAATAATGCTGAGGTATGCGCAGAACTCCTGGCTGCAGGTGTGTATGGTAGGGAACGAACGTGCTATTGCCCTTTCCAGGGATTAACGCGTTCACCACCACACCATGCGGGTCCTTGGTTTCGCCTGTCTCTCAGCTATTTCTATTGACCAGTGCCATCAGCAATCACCTCAGACCTGCGGTCTGAAGTTTTGAAAATATCTCAGCATCATTGTGGTTGTTTCACAAATAATGCCCTGCCGTGAAAGCTTGTAAAAGGCAGTAAATAAAAACTCAACGCTGGGAATTCACAATTATATTTGTCTTTTATTGTAGTGACTACGACAAATTCTCGACCTGTTTAACGCAAGAACACAGGAAATTGTGTGGTTACCGTTCAGAAGTTGTAAGTTGCCACACATTATCGATTTATTGATTGGCACTTTCTCGCGATACTTTTATGAGTTTTTTTTATTGTGTTAGTGTGGTCTAACATAATTAAACCTCTTCGAATCGCTGCTTGCTCACAAGGCTGTCCTTTGTGCAGTATTCTGTCAGTCGTGTTTAGGATGGCTCGAGTGAAAAGTTTGTAGACGACAGACTGCAAGCAGATTGGGAGGCAGTTGCCTGTATCGTAGAGGTCACCGTTCTTGAACAAAAGCCCGGTATTGCTGGTCTTCCATTGAGTAGGAACCTTGTATTCTAACAGCTAAGGTGTGGAGCACGTGTGGCGCAGTGGTCGGAGGCGCCCTTCGACAAGCTTGATACATCGGTAGGCCACCACCAGTCATTTTAAAAGCCAGATATGCATTCAATCACCTTTAGCGATGCTTAATAAAGTCGGATGCATAGCGCATTCTTCAGGGGTTGATCAAAGCGGAAAGATTTATCTTTTTTTTCGACGTGTGAAGAGCCAAACAAGTGTGTTCATGAGGACGGGCCTAAGGTTCTTCAGGTGTTCAGATCTCATCCTTTTCGGACTAAATGTAATTCAGTTCGTCGTCGGTGTATTTTTAAAGAGAGAATAGGAGGTATTCCTCCTTTATTTCATACGGGGGCAGGAGGATGTGGCTATTGAAGAGGTCCGAGTATTCGTTAATTATTTTCTCCCTGGCCTTTCTGGACGATATATGTTCTGCCTGAGCGTAAGAAATCACTCATATTAATTTTGTAAATGGCAGAGCTTTGGTGAGCATTGCAAATGCTTTTCCCAGCCTCTGAAGCATCGAGCACAACTGTTGTTCTTTAAAATATTGTTTTTCGCCGGTCTGCATTGTTTTGCAAGTTCGGACGCGAGACGGCGGCTGCCTGTAGCTGATTCCACGCAGACATATCAACTCAAACGTTTCTGGAGACAGACGTCACTCGGTGACTTTCGAACCCTTGGCTTTCATAGCGATAATGTGAAGATGTCGAATGAGCCGATCGCATTCCACGTCGATTTTATCGGAAACGGAATCTTGCTAGCCTTTGGACATCTTTTTTTGAATTCAGCGGCTTTTTGTCCTTACTGCGAGAAGTGAAATCTTGCACGATGGAGGCGATGGTTTAATCCCGCGCAGAATTTTGGGGTAATGGCGAGTTTGACAAAATGCCTTCGATTAACTATGATGTGATCTATTTCGTTGTGGTACTCTGCACTGGGAGACTCCATGTCCAGCATTGAGAGTGGGATTTCTGAAATTGCTAGTTACTATGAGTGGCCTTTGTCGTTATGATAAACTGAGTCAACCACTGACCCTGCTAGTTTTTCTCTAATCCATGGACCCCAATGTAGCGCTCTACAAACAATTTTGTAAGTCTGATTTCGCCGCTGAATTCTCTAATGATTACCTTAACCATTGCATCGTCTTCTCTGTAGAACTTATCCAAGTCCGTATAGAACGCTTCGACTTCGTCACAGCTTGATGTGGGTACGTACACGGTGAAGATTGTTAAAGCCGGTGTAGGTTAACATCTCTTCAATCATAAAGGCCCTATTCGGGTTGTTAGTTGTTTGAATGAACCCATGTTCACGACCAAACTCGTGTTGACGAGAACGCCAACGCCACCCCTCCTCTATCAGCTTATGTTCCGAGAAAAAGTTCCTCTCCGGTGTCATAGACGGCGCTGAATGGGTGGCGTCGTTTCGTCTCGGCTAGTTGGACGATGTCCTACGCTATCCTTCTTGTCTGTAAGATCAAGTCGTCTATCGAGGAGTCAGATTCAAGTGTGTGTGCATAATATGTGCAGATCGTTACCCTCACCCTTTGCGATTTGAGTAGCCTAGGATATTCCTGAGATTTTATCAGCCTTTCCGTACTCGTTCTACCCAAAGCTATCGTATCAGGGGCCCTTTTGGAGTCAAGACTTTGAGACCGGTATAATTCCGAGTAGCTTGCCAGTCTTTCGCAGAGTAGATGGAGGAGCTTATTTGTTGGAGGCGACTCGTAGTCGCCTCCCATAAACTTCCCTTTTACTTGATTGCAGACATTTGGAGGAATTTACTCGCGGAATCCTACCAACATAAATGTTACAAATATCCACACACGCACGCAAGAATATGCCTCGCAAACACAGAGAGTATGTGTCAACCTGGAGCAGCATAAGTAGTCTATCCCCTGAAGCAATCAGCGTCTCATGGAAGCAGAGTGCGCTTTTGGTCCCCGATTAACCCGCTATTCTCCACCTGGGACACGTCCAGTTGCTTTGTGTCTCACTACCATGAGATCCCTCTATGAGGAAGATCCGTATACATCAACGTCACAGATATTAAAATTCCATTCCTTGTTTTTTTTTGACAATTTTATTTGGCATTATTGTTTGTTTTTTTTTCAAAACATTTTTTGCGATTTAGATTACTGGTCGCATGTTTCACAACAATCGCGAGGCTATGTTCAATATGTTGAAGATTCGTTGGTCCACATTGCCATCTCAGTGCGGTTATTCTCATCTAAGAAGAGACACATATTCAAGCGAAAAGCACTACTTATCTACAAGTTCCGCTTACACAGGAGTGTTCTTCATTGCTACACTGTTCAACGCAGCGTCCCTTTCTTTGTAGATATGAATATATTTGTAACGACTTGATAATTTATGTTAAGAGAAAGAACATTGTTACCAAAAACTCTTTAGAAATGAAAAATAAATGTGAACGGGTAAGATAACTGTTGTACAGTTTCACCCAGTACCGATTACACAAATTAAGACTACCTGATGTTGGCAGTACCCATTCCCAGCGTAGAGGAGAGACTCGCTCGAAGGTGAGATGAACATGAAACCAGTGGTTAAAAATTATTCATCCATAGCTTTGATACCGTTCTATTGGCCAGATGGACATCGTACTCAAAAACCTTTTCCCTATCATAGTGGCAGTTGTTGTTCGGAAATTAGGTACGCTGGTATTCTACAGTGAAGACGTGAGAGCCACTTTTTTCATTGTGTATCACTTCAGTGTAATTTTAGAAAGTAAAAATGTAAGAAGCAGTTATTGCAAAGTTCTTCGATCCTTTCACATTTTCTTCTTGATCCGGTGCAAACGTATCATTTCCGTTGCATTTTATGAGTTCAAATTACAAAGAATTAGTGTTTGTTGTGGTAAAAAGGTTTCACACCGTTACCGTCGTGATAAACATCAAACGGTTTTCTATATTTTTATCATTATTATTACTACATTACCCAACATCACATGTATTATGCTGTGAAAATTCCAGTACTTTCGATATTGATTCGTTTTCTCGCTCTTTCCATCCACAATGGCCCTCGAATCTTTTGCAGACGACGGGTTGCTCTGCTGTTTGAGATTTTTCCGTATTCGTCCTGAATGTCGTTGAATCTTGATCTAATCGATTCATTACAGAATCCTGAGATAGCCGCCCTAGGGCTTTTCCAGGTGGATTACAAAGAGAGTTGGCTTATCCCAGACCAGTCTGATGCTGATTCCTCGACAGTGGAGGATGAAAGGTATGGTGGGCGTGGAGCGTAAGTGCGTCAACGCTTCGGCAAGCTGGGCCGTCAGCTTAATAAACGAGATTGCTACTCACCTCATGAAGGCCTTAAAAATATCAAAACAAAATGTTGAAGAACATAGCAAACTTTTACGGCAAATAGCTTATCACACGCAGTGCTGCTAATCAATAACACAAACTGGCACCAAAACAATTCCTGTTTGCTGTCAGCTGCTAGAACCAGTTCTCTTTCATAGTACGTCATCGTGCACATTTATGTGTGTCACTGCGCCAAATTTCATTTTCGAAAATCAAACCGTAAGCGAAAATCAGATTGAAAATCGAATGCCGTCACGAACTGGACTTTCCTCACACCTTTGTCACGTTTTTTTAGATGCAATCGACAACATTCACCCAACGGTTTACCTCCTCATCGTGGCTAGGAGGTGTTCCTGGGTGGTGCAGCGGAGGCATTCGTTACACAGGCAGTGTCTCCCAAGCTGAGAAGGAGACCACCGCCTCCATCAGGAAGCCTAGCTAAGAGTAAACCAATACCAGGAACCACCACCGTCCTGGTATCAAAGTGGCATGGTGGCAAATCTCCCTCCGATCCACAAGGGTTGCAACTGCCTCCGGTGGTGAAGACCTGGGGCAGACTTTGGCTAGACTGACCTCGAGATTCCAGTGAACCACAATGGCTTAACCAGCAAATCTCCGAAAAATGGTGACTATGCTGGGCGCCGCACAACTAGTGAGGACGGGCCATTCAAGTATTAACTATCAAATAAGTATCGACAACATCGATGGTGAATAATAATAAGCGATAATTGACGAAATATTCGATGTTGATCAATTTCCTAAAGGTGCTCCATATCAACTATTTGCCTGGAGAGTAGGGGTATTCGAATTCACATTTGATCGGCACCAGGAGTTGTAAGGACCCGTCAACTTGTCAAGTCATTACCTTATTCCACATATAAGCTAACACGCAGTTGCTACCAAGCATTTACTTAACTAACGTTTTAATTATTTTTCTTCTTCACAACCGATGATCCGAGTCATGTGTTTATCGGTTTTGTGGAAGACGAAGGCATCAAAACGTGACCCGAGTAATTGTTCGGTAGCAACCTCGTTTTAGCTTGTGAATGAAATAAGATACAATAGTCATTCATACCGAGGTTAGATGAAGGCCGCCTTACAATGCTAAATGGTCAATATTTTTATTCCCGAAAGCGATTTACTGACTACTGTAGGGAGTAGAGTTTAGTTTCCTTGAGGCACACAGGATTGAACGAAATGGCCACTTGTGCTACACATCACCTCGAACCACCAGGTTACATTTTCCTCCAAGTGATTATTTATCTAACACCATAGCACTAGTAAAAATAAGAGCTAAAAAATTCCTCAAAAAACTGCAATCTTCAGGTGATCTTGAGTTCGAATGTGGATCCGCATAAGCTGCGGGCAGCCATCAAGTTGGGTTCAAGCTCGCAAAGCTTTCAAAAATGCGATTAAAGAAGATCTTGTTTTGGAACAACTATCAGTATTGCATAAATCAGCAAAGTTTGTCAGCTGCTTGATTTTCCAATTGCAAGAACAAGGTGATCACCGGAACAGAACAAATACACACTACGTTAGGCACAAATGAAAAGATTTTGAAGTGAGAGTCACTATCACCGCGTGGGAGACCAGAATGCTTGATCTTCACTCTTTATCTGATGATCCGATGATCTGTCCTTTAGGTAGCCTAGAGCACAATTTTAGTTCACAGAAATAATTTGCAAGGGCGACTGTCGTTACAGAGTTATCTCATCTTTTCTCCTTCGTGTGCGTAGAAAACAAATGCTACGCTGCTACTATGGAATATGCCTAGGCTTGTAATTTTACGGTACCGGAAAAACTGTGAAAAGGTAAATAATGTTTCTATTTTAGAATACACTAGAAAGTCGTGCTTGGCTTTTCATACTTTGCGAGGATGCGAGTGCTTTAAATCATTTTTCACATAAACATCGCCACAAATATTCTAGGTTTGTTGATATCTGTGACATTTTTGCAAACTCTTTCCACTACGCTTTCCCCTAAACTTCTACTCGATTCTGAACTTCTATTAATTCTTTCCACTTCTGTTCAGCAAACAAGAAGTGCTATCCCACTTCCCCACTTACGTAAAAGCTGACGTTTCGGCGGATTTCGCCTTCCTCAGAGCCTGGAAAGGTCAGGTTGACAGCAACCTAATCGGCCAAACACCTTCATAACCAAACAGAGAAAACGCCAAACCAAGATTTCAATCACATTTAACACAGCTCCGCACACTCACCACTTTCTATGAGTCTTCCAATGAGTATGTCGTGTGAAGAGCAACCGCACAAAACTCACATGGAAGCGTAATTTGCTCCTTCCATCGCAATAACAGGTTTATGTACAGCCCTATATCACGCGTGATAATGAGGCATTCTTCCCTGCGGCTCATTTTCAGATTTCTGGAATTAATCCAGAAGGCCTCGAGAGTTTTGCGCGCATGTGTTCTTGATTCCTGCGCGAGAATCGTGACACGTAGTTTAAAGTCCTCCCGTTATATCTCTGGGTCCTATGCGTGTCTAGTGGAGTATTTGGTTTATCTTTACCGACTAGGTGTTCTTTTATGCGGACGCAGAGCGGTCTACCCGTTTCGCCAACGTATTCGTCCTCTCACGCTTTACAAGAGATCAGATAGACTGTACCCGAACTCACGCAGTCACCGTCTCAACCATTGGGGCAAATTATGCAATTTTGCGTTTGCACATAGACGGTCGTATAGGCGGTTACGAACTAGCTGGCGCCTAAGATTACTCGGTGGTATTTCAACTACGTTTACCGAATTCTCTAGAGCCATCCTTCCTAAGCAGCGTTTTATATAGATGACTGTTTCGTCCTTTGCTCGACAAAAGAGGAAATGGACAAGTGTTTCAAGTTGTTGAATAAACAGTCAGAGCATATCAAGTTCACACGAGAGATACCGAAAGAAAAATGGCTTCCATTCTTGAACGTCCAAATTAACCTATCAGAAAATGGCTACCTTACGAAGTGGTACCGAAAGCCATGTAGCAAAAGCGTTCTGGTACACTACCTCTTTTCTCACCCCTCTAGCACGAAAAGGGCGCTTCTAAGAAACATGCTTCGAACAGCAACCAACCAGGAAGAAAGCAGAGAGAGGAGTCCTAGAACTTGGAGCGGCACATAGCCATTTTTAATGTAGCTGGAGATAGGCGTAGAGAAAATCGGAAGCTCCCAAACGATAACTCTAGCGACAATAAGGTCTCGTTTGTCCTACCCTTCATCTCAAATGATGTAAGTGCAGCCATAAAACGCTGCTTAGGAAAGGCGGGTCTAGAGAATTCGGTAAGCGTAGTTGAAATACCACCGAGTAATCTTAAGCGCCAGCTAGTTCGTAACCGCTTATACGACCGTCTATGTACAACTCAAAATTGCATAATTTGCCTCTGTGGTAGAGACGGTGATTGCATGAGCTCGGGTATAGTTTATCTGATCTCCTGTAAGACGTGTGGTGACGAATACATTGGCGAAACGGGTAGACCCCACTGTGTCCGCATGAAAGAACACCTAGTCGGTAAAGATAAACCAAATAGTCCACTAGCCACGCATAGGACCCAGAGATATAACGGGAGGACTTTAAACTACGTGTCACGATTCTCGCGCAGGAATCAAGAACACATGCGCGCAAAACTCTCGAGGCGTTCTGGATTAATTCCAGGAATCCGAAAATGAACCGCAGGGAAGAATGCCTCATTATCACGCGTGATATAGGGCAGTGTATAAAACTGCTTTTCTGATGTGAGGGGCACATTATACTTCCATGTGATTTCTGTGCGGTTGGTCTCTACGTGACATACTTAGTGGAAACCTCATAGGAAGCGGCGAGTGTGCAGAGCTGTGTTCAATGTGATTGAAATCTTGGTTTAGCGTTTTCTCTGTTTGGTTATGAAGGTGTTTGGCCGAATAGGTTGCTGTCAACGTAACCTTTCCAGGCTCTGAGGAAGGCGAAATCCGCCGAAACGTCAGCTTTTACGTAAGTGGGGAAGTGGAATAGCACCTCGTGTTCGTTGAGCAGAAGTGGAAA